GGATATAGATGGATAGATGGGTGGATGGATTACTGAGTAGATGGATGGATGGATATAGATGATAGATGGGTGGATGGATTACTGAGTAGATGGATAGATGGATGGATGGATGGATAGATAGATGGGTGGTAGATAGATGGATAGATGGATAGAGAGATGGGTTGGTGGGTTGATGACTTAGTGGATGCATGGATGAATGGAGAGATGGATGGAGAGGTCTCTAGAACCATGAGTACCACTCTATGAGGAAAAGCAGACACTCTATTAAAGCAAAAATTCTTCATTTTGAAAGTTAAATAGGGCCCAACTCTAAAAAGTATACTCACCAAAAAAATTTAGTAAATTATATACTAAAAAGCATTTAGGGGGTAGGATATACAGGTCAATAGTAGCATGCTTGCCTAGCATGGGCAAGGCCCTGAGTTCAATCCCCAGCACCACAAAATAAATAAATAAATAAATAAATAAATAAGCTTCAACTCAAAAATATTTTCCAGGTCTAAGCTGGTGAGTTGAGCTGGTTTTCATCCACCTAGGCCCCTTCCCAGTCATATTTGGTTCTGATTGCTTAATAAATGTTAGCAACCACCTCATCTCCCAGACTCCTCCTGCCGTACCTGCTGCTCACAGTGAACTGCTCTCACCCGCCTTCAAGAACATCCCATTCTCACGCTCCCTTGCCCAGCACTCCTCTCTGCTCCATATTGCCTGCCACTACTAAAGACTGCACGTGGCCTCCTGTGTCCTGGGCTACCTGCAAGATCAGCCTGTTTGGATTGTCCTACAGGATACTTCTGCACCTGCCTGAGCTGGCCGCCCTGCAACCTGAGCCCTCTCTACACATTCCCACCTCCCTGCCTTTCCTCAGGCTGCACCCTGCCTGGAATATGCTCTCTGACCTTCTCTCCTTGTCTCATTTATAGTCTGTTCAAGTTCAAAATCCTACTTTCCCCAGGAAGCCCCCCTTATCATCAGCCCGCAGTGAGCTCTTCCTCTTCCCACACTGCCTGTCCTCGTTACCCATCTCATTCCTCATGCATTCGGACAATATTTATTCAACATCGTCATGCTAGGCACTAGGTACAGTGTGCTGAGTAAGAGCAAAATAGGCCTATTTTTCATGGTGCATGGAGTCCTGTGGAACTGGACATGTGTATGTTGTCACCGCAATGAATCTCCATGCGGCACCCTTGCCCCCACCTGAACACTGGGCACCTTGACAGCAGAATCCACGTGTGGGTTGGTTGGTACCCCTGGAGGCCAATTCTGTGCCTGGTTGATACCAAGCATTTGGCAATTCCTCATGATAACAGGATTCTCAGCCTCACTTGGAGTGATGGTGACTCAGTAGGTGGCAGCCTCTACAATGTAGCACTGTCCCTACTACTCCTCTGGCAGGCACTAATGGAGCCCCTGCTGCATGCTGGCCTCCTGGCTGCCATCCACAGCCCAGAGCAGGGTCTCCGTCCAGCTCAGCAGTTCTCACCTGGTCTTACTGGCCCTGTTCCACACGGTAACCAGAAGACGCTTGTGGTCATCCTCTTCAGGGACAGGACTGTGAAGCAAAGCAGACCATCAGAGAGCTGGGAAAGCCAGACCCAACAAGCCTGCCATAATTGCAAAAATCTGAAAAGAACCTCAACAGCTGGTTAAATAAACTCTAGCGTGGGAGATGAGTACTTACATGGACAGAAGAGTTTATATTACATTGTTAAGGACAAAAAGGAGGTTACAGCACACCATTATGAAACAATTCCATTTCATAAACACACGCACACGTCCACGCCCACACCAATGAAAGGCCCTGATGAGGGAAACAGAAAGGCCTATCTATCTGAGTTGTTGAACCACGGGTGTTTTCTATTTTCTTCTCAGCTCCTCTGTTTTCCAATTTTCTAGAATATGCAAAATCACCTCTTGAGGTGGAGGGGAGAAAACAAAATATTATTTTTAATTTTCACTCATGAGAAAAGACCAAATGTCCGTGACCTTCCCATTGACCTCAGAGTGCAGAGATGGGGAAAAGAAATAACAACAGCAGCAGTTCCCAGTCTGCCAGGTGATGCCACACATCGCATTGACAGCTCGCAGATCCCCCGAGGCGGGTGCTATTAGTAGCCCCACTTCACAAATGAGGAAGCTAAGGCTCAGGGAGGTTAACAAGTTTAAATAAAAAAGGGGGACAGGGAAGTGAAATGTCCCTCAGCTTGGAAAATTCCTTCTACTGCAAGAGAAATCTTGGCCCAAGGCATGGTGGGAAATTGCCTACTCTTCAGGGGCAGCCAGGCCCAGGCTGGGCATTTTAGTTCTGAGAACCAGCCAAGTGATACCTTATCGCTGTGGACCTCACTGCTGGGCCCAGGGCCAGGGATGCAAGGACACAAGGGAATGAGAAAACAAAGACATCCTTTAAGTCACTGTTTTTCTGCTTAGATCCAGTTCTAGATTTGGCAAACAGAGCTGTTTCCAAATAAACATTCCTTCCCCCCTCCTCTTGAGGGCCCATTTGCCCAGACTCTTACAAGAAAAAGTGTTCATGGAAAGCAGGGTTTCTGCAGTCTGGAATGGTCTGCGTCTTCTGAAAGCGCATTCGATTGTTTTCGGGGATCAAGGAAACCTTGAGTTGAAGAAAAGCAAGCGTTAGGTCACATCATCACCTAAGTCCAGCAGCCAACTCTGTGCATTTCTGTGCTAAAGGCTTCCCAGTGTCCTTCAAACCAGCCTCTGCAGAGGATCGAGTGGGGTCCCCAGTTAGATGCTGGAGAGGAACAAGGAGCACGGAGCAGGAGGTGTTGGGAGTCAGATGCCAGGACAGGGCCTCTTGGTGGTGGCACCAAGAAGGCGGCCCAGCCAGAGATGGGGTAAAAATGCACCTGCTCTGTTCTTCCACCAAGCTGGAGATTCCCCCCAAATCCAAAGCTCTCCTCTCTTCTGGACTCCTGACAGCTGTTGACAGCCCTTCACAGAGGCTCCGCTCCTTCTCCTGCAAGGCCAGGCTCTCTCCCCAGGGTGCTCTCCCCTGCAGACCCCCAGCCATGCTCTGGATCAAACCCTCACCCAGGCCCTTGAGCAGGGGAGGACTTAGGAAGAATGCAGAGGGTAGCACAAGGGACTACACCTGAACTCCATTGCCACACTAAGGGAAGCTCCTGGCCTTGTCTCCCACTGGAAGCTGACCCTTGCCCTCCTGGCTTCACCAAGAGGACCCAACTCAGCAGGCTCTTCCAGGCCTCAGAGACACTCCCTCTGCTCCCCTGCCCAATCCTGGCTGCCCTGCTTCTAGCTTTGGAGGGTAGGGAGTAAAAATATTATTTTTTTTACGAGAGGCCTTGGATTTCAGCCACTCATGTGCTCACTGTGCCCATCTACATGGATGACCAGGATCACCGTTAAGATTCTAGCTCCTGCCCAAAGCTCCAGGGACCAAGGTGGCGAAAGGAAAGGGTCTATCCTAGCACAGAGCCTAAGCAATGCCCACTGACCCAACGAGTGAGGTGGTAGCTACACTCAAATGGCCTGAGCCTGTGGATATGCTGGGACCTTGGGACTCCACCCAGTGGCATGGTCCCTCAATACCCCCAACAATACCACCCCTCCAGTCTCACGTACCTTCACATAGGGATCACAGACGCCGGGCTCTTTGCTAATCAGGCCTCTCCCTTCTATGACTAAAAGAAAATTGAAATGTTGGAGGATGGGGAACATCTCTCTCTCTCTCTCTCTCTCTCTCTCTCTCTCTC